AGAACCATGTGTCAGATCACTGCTCCATTCATCAGTTGTCTTAACAAGAACAGGAAAGTCTGGGGGCACCCATAAAAGCTTTACCTCCTCAAAGCATGTAAGGGGCAATTTTAGATCCCCACAGAATGAGGATTGACTTCCAAGTTGGATCTGATCTTGCCAAGTCTTTGTTCTTCCCAGATGGCACATAACTTCTAAGATCAGTACCAGCAAAAGACTCAGCATCATAAGGCAAGAATCCAGTGTGGAAAATCACCTCAGCTCAGACTGCTACCTGTGCACCAAAGAGCAGTCCCACCACTTCAGTGAGGCAAGGGAGAACTGAACACTAGGCTACTTATAACTACCAACACCAGTCCCTTTCATCTCATAAGGTGGAGCCAAACCTTCAGCCACCAGCTCAGCATCAAAGAAGCACAAGTCACAAAGTGCCTATACCTGAAAATACCTGTACCAGACACCAGTACCAGCTTTGACACCAGTAACATCAACATTGACACTGTCAGCGAAATCCCTGCTGGTACCCAATGAGTCTGTGTTGGGGGAGGTAACCCGATCCCTAGCACCAGTGTCTCTACACTTGGCACAGGTGCATATTTCTGGCATCTTGGTACTGAAGTCACCTCAGAGGTTGATGCCGTGCTTCTGGGTGATGTCTGTTCCTCATTTCCATCACTGAAACATGCCTTTTCTTACCCATCCATTTGCAACCTGCCTCCCCTCAGGTCATGAGATGGTCTCTTTCGACAGATTAAGAATCTCAGGTTAGCACGGACACGCATCCACCTACAACATGGCAATGGCCAAGTCAGCACTATCTGAACCAGCATTGCCAATACAATGCACCACCCTGGCCATATCAGGAATACTAAGGATCCTCTCCCAAGACATCCAGGAGCTGGTCTTCTGAAATCATAGAGCTTCTTCTCCTTCTGCATCTATAGACAGACTCCCATCTACCAACAGGGAAGAACAAGAAAAAGAAAAGGCAGTGGAACCCTCCAGAACAAAACCCCTCATTCAGCAGAGTCTCTGACTCCTCCTCCCTAGAGAAAGTCATCTCTTTAGCTCCAGTACTGGCCCCCTGATTACTTTAAAGCATTTTAGGAGCTACTTGCATGCATTACTTGACATCGAAACATCTGAAGAAAAAGCTCCCAAAAGTTCTCGTATTTTGCACTTGTCTTCTGATGGTGAGATAGCTCTACCTACCCAGAAGAGGACATCTTAGACCCAACCCAGGACCTTGTGGCAGACACAAGCTGTACTACCACCTATAGCTAAGATAGCAAGAAATAATTATCAGATACCCCAAAAGGGGTTTGAACTGTTTGGCATACATATAAGTCTGTGTGCCTTGGTGGTTTCTGAGGCCCATGAAAAGATTACAAAGCAGATTAATAGCATTCCTAACGACAAAGAGCTCTCCAAAATTAGACTTATTTAGAAGAAAGGTCTATTTATCAGTATCACTGCAGCTATGAATTGCTGATTACTGGGACTTGTGGGTAAACAGCTAGCTCATTGAGGTAGGGTATCTTCCAAAAGATTCCAGAGAGGAATCAAAAAGCATTACTCTGGCAGGCCAGCTAGATGCAAAAACACCACTATAGGTAGCCATGGATGCATATGATACAGCAGCTTAGAGCCATGGCCTCTTCTGTGATCACACACAAAGTGTCCTGGCTGCAAGACTCCTTACAACCTTTGTGGCTGTAAATGTAGCTTACTGTGCTTGATCAAACTATTAAAAAATACTTAACACAGAGGTTCCCAATCACTTTAAACTGTCCTAGGACTGTGCAGGTTTCTGTGATTGACACTTTAGGTTCTTTCTCTCTACAATACCCTTTGGCTCAGTGCACAGCCTCTGGACTGGGCCCCAAAATGTCATATGTGCACATTACTCTGCAGCAAAGCTCGCCTTGCCTCAAATCCCAGTCTTGAAATGACAAGACGGCTTTGGAATAGCCAAAGCAGGTAAGAGCATGGGCAGGTGAACAGAAGGCAGCAGATAACAGATGCTAAAGTCACGATCTTATTGGTAATTTGGTACACTTTCTCAAAACATATCTTTAAGAAGTACTGACACTGCTTAAACCCTTGTGAACCTGTGTGGCTTCAGTGTTCTTCCACTATTTGAGGATAAGCAGCGAAAGTACTAGATGCCCTAAACCTTTCCTAATTACACTCCAAAACCAATGGCACTTCGCAATGCATGGGACTAGCAGGGAAACTATAAATAGCTCTCTCAGAAACATAGTTATCCACGTTCACTCTTACGTGCACCAGCAGCATGATCTCAGACGTCTCTGCTGGTCTATAGGGCGTTGCCCCAGTGGAAATAGGAACACATTTTGGCAGTGTCTGTGGTTTCAGCATGTGAGGTTCTTGCTCCAGAAACTACAGTTGGACTGGGATCTATACAGCAGGATATCAGCAGCAGCCAAAGGTAGTCTCCTCTGAACAACAAACCTGCAATAGTGAACGTTGGAGTGAGTGGGCTCCATCCTGCTTGGTTTAGAGGCTATCCATTATGGTGACAGTAGAAAAAATTGTGCTGTTTTACTGACACATTCCACCAGCCAGGAATTAAAAGTCACCCATCCCCCAAGCATCTGTTGACAAAGTTCATTTAAAAGGGTCACGTTCCACACACAGCAGGGTATGCTCACAATGAAACGACTACTTATGGATCTGTCTGGGACTGATATCTCTAGTAGGCAAGGTCCTTGCATACCAGTCCGTCAGCAATGGTGAGAAAATGGTGGCACATGAAAGTTCTTGCAACATTTTCTAAGTATCAGGGAATTTTTTCAGCAAGCAACATGGAAGACCAGACTTTTAGAAAGTTCAGTTCACTATCCCCTCCTCTCAGACCCACCCACACCCATCCACCCACACAGTGCTGTGTGCCTACAGCTTCAAGAGAGCAAGACTTGACTAACTGGAGACCACTAGGTGGGAATCCATTGATGCTAAGTATTTCCATTGGGCTACAAGCCCTTTTTTGTGGGAAGTAACAACATTTTAATTATATTTGCCACTTTCTTAAAATTCAGGGCAGTTTCTCAAGGGAATGGGAGAGGGATTACCCAAGCTATACTTTGCTTCTTTAGCCGTACCAAGCGGACACTCCATCTCCAGTTCACAGTTACCTATTTTGATGCATTCATGACGTCTTAAATATCTTTTCACATAGAATTGTTTTAATTGGTACATTATTGTTATCCTCGCATTCTTGTCTAATACTGATGATATCAGAACTATGAGTAAGGAACAATAACTTAACAGCGTTTAGAAGGCTTCTTAAGACAGCCAGTCACAGGAAAACTCTATTTCTGATGTCATCAGCCTGGCCTTATTGGTAATCCTGAAAGATTCCAGAGCCACCTGAGAAGCGTTGAATGCCCTGGATTCCTGTTGACTTCAGTGGAACCTGCGGGGCTCAGCACCTCCTAGCAGGAGCTCAGCACCTGGTAGGATTGGGCCTCTCCTGTGAGCAAAAACTCAAGTTCAAAATAATGTTTTGTAAGACAGACCAAAAGAAAAAATATATCCATTGTCAGAAAGGAAGAATTTGTGGAGCAGCATTAAAACAAAATCTTCATCTGAATGTATGGGCAAACATCCATCTTCAGTGTTCCAGCCAAATTTTCCTTGTTTAACACTTGAAAAGAAAACACAAGAGCAAACATCTGAAAGAGGAGGGTAAAAGCAAAGAGACCCCACTGTGAAAAAGCAATGTGGTAACCTAACACAGCATCTGGGAGCGAGGGCCAGCTTTAGTTTTTTGATTGTCCTCATTTGCATGCATCACTGGATGTTCTGGACATCTAAAAATACAGCCCCAATTTACATAAAAACAAAGTACAAAGCTAATTTGGTTAGTTCAATGTCCTCAGTGTGTTCCATTGGCAGAAAGCACAGGAGCCTATTACTGGGGTCCCAAATAACATGTTGGCTGAGTTCAGCTGCACGGGAAGAAGCAGTGCACCAATTTCACTCTCACTAGTGTAACCACAGAGAAGCACTTCAAAGACATTTCCATTCTTGGGCGTGTGATGTAGGCTACTCCCAGCAGCGTATGCTGATATTTATCTGAGAGCGACTATGTAAAGTTTGGATTCTCTTATACTCTCTGGTACAGCCTGGAACACTAGCTACCGTCATTGGTTTTCAGAACGAATATCCACATTGGAAATGGCCTCAAAGGTCAATAAAGAAAGAGGGTCATGCACAGTGTTCAGAGTGATTAGGTTTCTCTAGGGGTAGTTGGAACTCAGCTGCTTCCAGACTCCATTGGTTCATCCCTCACTTCCCCGGAGGTTCTTTGTCTGTGGGGGTAGGTGAGGATATGGAGTGGGCTAATTGACAGCTTTACCATCCCACTTTCTACAGCTGGCAATGGCTATTGTAGGATTGCCAAGTGAGTGATTACATTATCTCAGCCTATTGTTTTAATAACCACTGTGTAATCACTGAGAACTGTATGCTAGGACACGAGGACATATACAGAGAATGTCATAGGGATTTGGGATAGTGTGGGCTAAATGGGTTTGCAGTTCAGACTGAAATATTAGAAGAAGGCTGCTTCCTGTGCAGAAGTAGCATGGAGTTGAGGAGGAGAGGTCAGTTAGCTGCTATATCGGGAGATGTTGTTCCTTCTGAGTTCTAGCTAGAGCCAGAGGGGAGGGATATTAGACATGTATTAGCAGCATTCAGTCCTCTACTCCCTACTCAAGATGCCTAGAATCCCAGAAAACACTGGGCCACATTCAGACCTGTTGTAAGAGTGTGCAGCTCTCATTGGGGGTTGCATCCACATTATCCAGGGCTGAATTTGGTCCACTGAATCCATAGGGGAATCAGTCCAGTCTACTTTTGCATTCTTTCCCCTCTATTTTTGCCCTCTTCTGCCATTTTGTTGCTCCTGTGTTAGCCTGGGCCTCTTCATTGGAGATTTATTACAGCTTATTTCTGTCTGCCTTTCTTTAAAGCCAGCTGAACATACCCAATGCTCTTCCTCTATGGTAAGACCAAAAATACAGACCACCTTCCCAGCTTCTGTGACAGTTGTCCTAACACACTCCTTTACTCTCTTCCCCTGATCATGGGTTTTTTCTCCAAGCCCAGCCTAGTTATCTCTGCATGAAGCTGTCGTGTTGTTGTTGTGTTTGTTTGAATCTGGTGTTCACATGAGCTGTGACTATGCTACATACGTGTATTTCTCATGCACCCTGAGTTTTCCTTTGGTCAAGTTAATTGCTGTCCTACTTTCTAATGAATTACCAAGAGAGAACAAGGACTGTTAAGATTTCTTGTTAGCAGCTACCTTTCTATATCAATTTGACATTGGCTTGACTCACCATGTGATTTCAAATTTAAATTTACTATAAAGGTCTGAGGCTCTGAATCGCTGATGAGCCGAGCTGATTTATTGTGAAGTTTAAGATCCACTTTTGTATAAAAAGAGACTAAGCAATAATGATCAAAAACTGCATAGCCTTTGAGGGCTACATTTTAAAACAGCATGCCATGTGGGGCTTATGAAAGCCATTCTCTGTGTGCAATTATATAAAACTTCCCTGGTCTGTCAGAGAGACAGACACACATCAGAGAGCTGCTAGAAAATGAAAATGTAGCAAGCAAGGAGGAATCTGTTCAGACAGGCCAAGCAGTTGTCACTTGTTCTTACACTGTCCAGCCCCTCCAGTAAACATAGCAACTGTGGAAGATATAAGCAAAAATTCTCTAGTTCATGCACTGCTGTAATAGATGCAATTAGGCCCTATCCACATGGCAGTAAAGTTTTAAATAATGGGCCTTAACTCTTCTTTGAATTTAGTTTATTAGAGGAAATTGGGCCAGAGGACTTACCTGGAGTGGGAGGGGTGTACAGTCTTTGTAGTTGCCTGCTTAAATAGTAGTCCTGGATGCAGACAGGCAAGCATCGTGTCTATTTAAATGCTCACAGAGCCAAACTCTCTGCTCATTTACACTCCGTTTACTTTAGTGAAGTTGTATTGATGTAAATGAGAGGAGAATTTTGCTTACAGACTATCTGCAGTGTTAAATTAGGGGGCCAGGCAGAGGTTAGGGTTTGGAGGGACACTCATTGAAATGTATTCCTGCAGGTTGTTTGTCCCCTTACTCTCTCCATCACTGATCGGGGTCCTCAGGCAGCAAAAACCCACACAGCATGATGTTGAAGACTGTGTCTTGCCAACAAGTGGGGAACCACCATCCCATATTGGCCACAGGTTTGGTGGTCCCCAGAATCCCACGCCATAAGTTTGATGAAGACACTAATTCTCAGAGGTGTCACTGATGATTAAAGTGCTTGGTACCTCAGGCAAAACTGCACCTCCTGTCCAGTGCTCGTCTACTAGACACAGCACAATGTTTCTCTGCGACTTTCGATTGACGTGTAGGTAGCCACACACCATTGCAATTCACATGCTGGAACAGAGAGTCAGTTTGGGAAGCAAAGACTATAAACAATAGTTTGGAAAGAAAAAGCAGACATACACATCATTCACAGGGCCACTGCATCTTGAAGCAAGACTTTTTTTGAGTAATCTCAGAAATATAAATTCATGTAATTCCCTGAGGAACAGAAATGCAACAGATGCTGCTCATTTTGAGCTATAATAGGAAATCCAAAAGATCTGTTCTCTCCTGGTTTCGATAGTGGTGACTAGCTAAGAAGGGGTGATCTGCACTGTTTCTGAGTCCAAAAGGTTACTCTCTCAGTAGTTTGGTGCTTAGCATCAAGCTCTTGGTTTTGCAGCAGGGAAGGGGGTGGTATCCATGTGCTTCTCTGGCAGAGTGAGTAGGAGGATGACAAGATTATCTCTCGGTTTAGCCCAGGGTTATGTTCCCACAGCGCTTCCAAGGGAAACTCCTGCTTCTTTTATTTAGCACAGTATTTTCATGGGTTTTGGGGGCAAAATGAACTGGAACCCTGTAACTTTGTTCTGCACAGTTCCCCCAAGCAGAGTGATTGTCTCATCTTGAACTGGGCACCTGGGTTCCTTACACAAGCTGAGGCAAGGCAGCTGACTCCTTTTTGTTCAGGAAGCTGTTGCCCACGTATATATATAAAACATGAAAAATGTCAAAGCTGGTTGCAGGCCCTGGGGGAAATGATTAGTGACAAGGCTGAAGCAGTGAGAAAAGCAGAGGCCAGGAGAGAGGCTATTTAAAAATACTCCTGGCCTGAGCATCAGCTGTCAAGCCAACGTTTAAAAAAAATACCGGGCTGTGCACAGGCTGTGGGAAATACAGAGGGGTCATGAGAAAGACGAAGGGCCCAGAGCTCAGGACTGTGAGTGCACAGTGCAGAGCACAAAAAACACAGCTAGGCCCCTGTGGAGATGGGAGGGCTGATTCCAAGACTCAAGCAATGCTAAGAGCTTGGCTCAGTGGCAACCCGTACTGTGCTCACATGGGACCACCAAACTTGAAAGCAGACTTAGGACCTACCAGAGTTCCCCAGGCAGAACAAGCTAAATGTATCATAGATACTTAGTGTCAGATTAACCAGGGCAGCTGACTGATGCACATTATGTAGTAGCTTCAGAGACAAATCCAAAAGAAAACTGTCTTTCTTCACCCTCTCTTCCACCCCCTGTCTAATTGTGACTTCTTGATCAGTGTAATCACAGAGGCTATGTCTACACTGCAGGCTTCTTGCGCAAGAAACTTTTTGCAGAAGAGATCTTCCGCAAAAACGTCTTGCGCAAGAGAGCGTCCACTCTGCAAAAGCGCATTGAAAAAGCAATGCGCTTTTGTGCAAGAGAGTGTCCAGATTTCATGGATGCTCTCTTGAAAAAAAGTGCTGATTGTGATCCACAGAATGGCCACCAGAGCACCTGTGCTTTTTCCTCTTTCCTGTTTTTGCGTAAAAAACCTCTGTTGCCCATCCACACACACCTTTTTGTGCAAGAACTCATCTGCAAAAAGGAGTTATTCCTCGTAGAAGGAGGAATACCTATACCACAAAAACCCCTCCGTTCTGTCCTTTTACTTGTGCAAAAACGCACTTGAGCTGTGGACCCTCCGTGAGTTTTTGTGCAAAAATGACCGTTTTTGCACAAAAAATCTGTAGTGTAGACCTAGCCAGAGGGAATTGAGGGCTTCTTAAGGAAGATACTGTCAAGTAAACTATTCCATTACCTTTAAGACCCTGACCATGAGTTCAGGCACTTGCAGCGAGGAACCCAAAGGAAGTGGTTGATGAGAGGCTGCACAGCTTCACTAGTGAGTAGTGTAATCCAGAGAACTTTTAGGATGCCACCACAGCCTTGGGAGAGAAGGGAATTCAGACGGGCTAGGGCAGTGTGAGAGAGCTTTCGCAACACTAGGGAACAGTGCAGTGAGCTCTTCCTGGGTAGTGTTGTCTGTGATCCAGGATCTTTGTTTTTCATCTGCTGTTATAACTACTGCCTCTGTGCCAATGGGTTCCAGAATGCAGAGGAAAATTCGCGCATCTCAATCACCTTTTTCCGACTCTTCCGGGTGATGCGTCTCGTGAAGCTCCTGAGCCGTGGGGAGGGCATCCGGACGTTGCTTTGGACCTTCATCAAGTCCTTCCAGGTATTCCTTCACTTATCACTAAGTAGACAGGCCTGGAAAGAGGTATTTATGCTCTTTATTTGCCTTGCCACAAGAGATTTTCATGCTGACAGGAGGGGCCTTAAGCACAAAAGGCAAAATTTTCTTCCATGCAGCAGGCCAGCCCCTCACTAAAGTGGGACTTCAGTGGTGCAAGGTCCTCATGTTAGACTCCCTGCACAGTGGTAAGTTCTACCTAGACAACCTAGGTAACTCCTTGGGTCTTATGCACACTTGGCAGCTCAAGGAACACTCTGGTCTCTGCTTCAGACCAAAGTGAAAGGCAATCCAGACCTAAAACCAAGGCCTTGGTTACTTTATAATCATTAAGATCTCTAGCACTTTGTAAAAGAGAAGGGATAGTGATTCCTTTATACTGGCCAAATTCTAACTCAGGTAATTACATTTGGACCATGGCTCACTTAAAATTCTGTCCTCGGTTTCAGAGGTATTCTGTATCTATTGCTTCAGGTGAAATTTGCTCATCCAGAGGGCCAGCATAAGGCTCTGTGCACCACTGAAATCTCATTTAAGCTGCCTCTCTCCACAGGGCTATATTTGCACTTTCTGGCCTAAAGTGTGGTGTTGTGTAGCTGTGACCTCTTAAACAGCTACTTTTTCGCCCCAGAGGTAGCTGCATTTCAGTGGGCGATAAAGTGGTCTAGGGTTTATAAAGCACTTTGAGTTATTAGGTGAGGTATAAAGTTAAGGTGCGATAATTAACCTGCACAGCAGGAAGTGAAGGTTATACTCCAAACTGAGCCAGATCTGCAATCTAAGGTCTGGGAGTAAACAGACTGAGTGAAGAGAGAGGGACCATGGAGCATAAGGATGATCATCTCTGACAGAAACAAGGAGACAGCCCCTCATTTGAAATAGTGGTTTCAAACAGTTGCTGAGGTTAGCCAAGTTCCAGTTACAAAAGAAGCCCAGCATTGTTTTGTATTTCACAGGTGTTTGCATAGACTTATTGGACCTGGTGCTATCAGGCTCAGCTTCTGAGGAAGTGTGTGGACAAGTATAGTAGTGGTGTAACTGTTGGTCTAAATTAAATATCAAGTGTAGAGTGGTCAGATAATGTAGTCAAAGTGAATAAAATAGTAGCATGTAGCAATGTATGAATCAGCGAGTATGTAAATGAGTTAACACACAAGCTAAGCAATTCACAAGAAGCTGAAAGAGAAAGCAGATTCCAGCTAGGGTTGCCAACTGGACGGGCCTTTGCCACAAATGGTGTCCAGTCCATCTAGTTAGGAAAGCTGGCAACACTAATTTCCCCATACCCACACAGGATCATTTTCTGCTCCCAATATAGGCAATGACAAAACCTCCACTGGCTTAAATGGGAATAGGAACAGAGCCACAATTTTAAACTTACTCTTCCCTCTTCTTGGGCCAAATTCAGCTGTGATGTAAATGGTCACAATGCCCATTGACTTCAGCGAAGTAACACCTGCTTATATTAGGGACTGATAAAAGGCTTTTCCCCATTTTTCTGACCAACTCATATCCATAACTGTCTCACCACTTCTGGCACTGTAAAATTTGGCTTGCTGTGTGAACAGCTCCAATGGGAATTATTCTGGCAAGGAAGAAGATTGACTGACTCACCCCAGTAATTATTAGCCCAGGAAACACAATAAAGTTTTCAAATTCTGGCTGCCCAACCAGCTTAGGAACAGCTCTTTTCAATTCTGAGATTAGTTCTCTCCTCCCCAGGCCAAAAGGAGTGAGAATGTTTGCAGCTCAGGTAACCCTACCCACGCTAACTTTAATCTAGTCAGCACAGCTAAATATAGCAGTGATGTTGCAGCAGCAGAGATTTCAACATGGGCTAGCAACATGTCTGTATCCAGGGTTTCAGGAAGCCTTGATCAGCCCACACGGAAGCCCATGCCTCCACATCTTCAGCTATTTTTAATCGATTAAAACTAACAAGGGAGAGTTTACCTTAGCTGTAGTCTTACCTCCCACTACAGTGTGAATGTACCCTGGGGTATGTCTAGACTACAGGCTTTTGTCGCCAGAAGTTTTGTCGACAGATACTGTCGACAAAGCGTCTGTCGACAAAGAGCATCTAGACTACATCCAGTTCTGTCGACAAAGCAAGCCACTTTGTCAACATGAGAGTGTAGACACAAAGGACAGTGTAGATGCAATAACGCCTTCTGTCTACAGAACTGTCAACAAAAGGCATTATTCCTCGTAGAATGAGGTTTACAGATGTCGACAAAACTGCTGAGTTCTGTCGACGTTATGTTGACAGAACTCAGCGGCAGTGTAGACATGGGTATAGTTTTGTCAACAAAAGTCCACTTTTGTCAACAAAACCCTGTAGCCTAGATACACCCCTGGTGGGAAAGTGAGTGGCTTCTAAAAGTACTGTTGAGTACTGTGAGCAAGTACCTTGTCCCTTACAGTGTTCAGTTGTTAATATCCCGTCCTGTCTCATATGAACTCCTCTTCCTAATGCTCCTCTGGAGCTGTGCGGTGCGTTTCTATAATGGCTTAAAATAGCTATTGCTAGGAGCTCTCTGTTCAGCCAGCCTCAATGTCAAATCTGAATTTTTGTGTTGCTTTTTATCCTGGGATTGTGCATTTTTCTGAGTCTCAAAATATGTCCAGGAAGTGTCCTGATTCATCTAGGACAACCGATATTCATCCTCTGCTTTGGGAGTTCACATTCCCCCCACACACTTCTGTAGTTAGTGCTGTATTTATGGAGCTGCATGTTGATCAGAGGAGTGGGGTTGGGCTGTGGGAAACCAGTCAGCAAAGCTTCCACATTGTGGTGCATCAACAGAGACCAAAATGGCTAATGGGCATACAAAGAAATCGGGTGTGTGGAGAGCAAGGTATGAGAGTAGGAACCACAAAGAGACAGAGGCATAGTGAGGGTGTTATGCGCCCGGGGGAAAAGGCAAAATTTGCACATACACACCCGCCGTCGCCATCACCTGATGGGGCCCCAAACTTGGCGCACAGCTAAGCCTGACCCTGGGAGAGGGAGGGTGGTTCCGCATCTTCCCCCACCCCCTGCAGTTTGGGGCTGGGCCCTCACACGCATTAACCCACCGGTGGAGATGGAGGAGGGTTGGGCTGGGGGTGGAGAGGAGGTTCCAGCAGGCGGTGGCAGGCTGAACCGAGCAGGTGAACCGAGGGATGACAGGAGGAGTGACAGGGAACAGAGGGGGACTAAATTGGCGCCCCTCTAGTGTGGTGCCTGGGGGCAACTGCCCCCCCCCCTTCGCTACACCACTGCAAGGAGAGAGCAATGAAACCAAGGAGAGGAGGTACTGCAGGGGTCTAAAGCCAGGAGAGTGGAACCGGAGGGAAGCGAGGGAATCCTGGAGGATAGAGAACAAGGAAAAGGAAGACGAAACAAGAGAGGGGGATGAAGTAAGCAGGAAATCAAAAGGAGAGGAGTGGGACAGACTGAAGGAGTAGGGTAGGGAAGACAGCATTCTAATGCCTCTTCTAAAGTGATAAGAGACTCTACGAACTTGGCCTGTTAGGTCTCTGTCTGGATGTTACCCAGGCCCACTTCTGCAGTCTTAGCTACGCCCAAGTCCACAACCTTGATTTGACCCATAAGGGCTCTCTCCAGATTTACAGACCCAAATTCCGGTTTGGTTTACCTCCACTGCGGTCTGGAATTACCCAGGGGTTAATTTGGGCATTGGGATTGGTAGAATACTGTTGAAATCCCTGCCTTACATTTCATTTTGTTTAGTTAGATGTATTGTTGAAAGGTAAATACAAAAGGTCTAAGGTTTAAATCCTGTTTTAAGGTTCTAGTTTACTCATGGTCAAATCCAACAGTTCTTGTGGAAATCACCTCTGTCTGAATAAGGACTGCAGGATTGGGCCCTAATGAAACACGGGGGCAAAAAAATACAAAATTCTGGACCCAAACACTCCCAAAGAGAAGATGTTCAGTATTCAAACCAGAGTCAGTAACCACATTTTGCAGATGGTTCTAAGATCTGTAACATGGACCCAACCAAAATCTCAGATCACAACACTCCCCTGGTGTGAGATGTTCAGACTCAGGAGGGAGATCTAAATTCCATGGCTTACGCCCATCTCTGATAAATACCTTTAAAAAAACAAAAACGTGAGAAGTCAGTGTCTTCTTTAGGGTCTGACCCTCTGTGTGCTAAGCGCTCTGGATTCCTGTTAAAAGTAGTAGAAGCTGAGGACATGCAGTATCTCACAAAGCAGGTCTCCTACTTACAAGCCAGCAGCAGCTGTCAGGTCTTTGCATTTCCTTTTCAGCATCAGATCCATCACAGACACCTGATTAATCTCCAATGCCATCACTGATACCTTACTCAGAACAGGAAATGGTAGCCTATGCCACTTTCAGTGCTTGTGATATCATTAGCCATAGCAGAAGAAGCCTTGAACTTCAAAGCAGCTTCAGAATGTCACAGTGAAAAGTGTCACTTGCTCTTGCTGCTAATATCAGGCGATGCTAATTATAAGTTTTCTACATTTGGGAGATGAGCAAAGATTGGACCTAATTCTGATTGTACTTTCACTGGTGTACAACAGGAGTGATTCCACTCAAATCAGTGGAATTATACCAGTGTAAGTGAAAGCATAATTGGGCCTATCTTGTTTTGGATAGTACAATGGCTGTATTTGAGGCATCTGGTGAAATCAAAAGTGGATCAGTAGAGACATCTAGTGGTCAAATGGATAAATGGCAGACCTTAAATTATTCTGGACTGGCACTGTTCTCAGGCTATCTTGATAAAGCAGGGCCCCAGTAGAATATGCCTCGCTCCAGCATGCCAAGTTATCTGATTAATTGATACAGTATATTCTGTTTTTTCCCCTCCAGGCTCTCCCCTATGTGGCTCTTCTAATAGTGATGTTATTCTTTATCTATGCGGTGATTGGAATGCAGGTAGGTGATTCTCAAGAGCTTAACTTTCGCACATGAGACTGAGAAGGGTAGTGGCACAAGAAGTCACCAAATCATTTTCTGGCTGTACATTTAGCTCCTTTCCTAACCATGTAATCAGGCATTTAGGAGGGCAGAGCTCAGGCAATGAGCCTGAGTTAATGTCAGAAAACATTAACTGGGTTTGCACTGCCAACAGCACTTGAAAATTACACCAGCCAAACCAAACAAAAATTCTGTGTTGGAATATCCCTATAGATGTATCAATGGTGATTTACCGGCTTGCTCATTGGAGCACAGCAATCAGTTCAAGTAGCTCAGAGCCATGCTGGTGATCAGGCCTGATTATTCTCTCACCCCACTTTCATGGTGGTATAAGTCCGTTGACTTCAACAGAGTTATTCCTGATTTACACCAGTGTTGGTAAAAATAGGATCAGACATCAAATCTCAGCTTTTTACTTGTGCCAGTTCCTCAATAAGCTGCATCAGTGCTATACTGTATTCTGCTTATGAAACCAAACTTGGAACCAGCATGAGCAGGAATCTATGCAAATGACTGATAGTCCGTACAGACAAGTGGAAAAAGCTATTGATGTACACACAGTGTATGTGACTGTCCCAGCTATATGTTACATTCCTGCCTCACTGGTGATGATTTTTCATGCTAAGCTTCACTTTCCATTTAGTTACTCAAAAGTCTCAAAACATCCACAAAGGTAGAGAGACCAAAGAAGAAGGTCTTTCGCCATCCGACAGCCCGTATTCTTCACAATGGAATCAGAATTTGTTAAAACTTAAGAAAGGTTCGGCAAAATCCATCTGATCCATTATGCCTCATTTTTTATTTTTATCATAACCCAAATGTATCACCTTTTCACTATCTACTCTTTTTCTCTTTCTCAAGAAACAAAGTTTGGATTACACTGTCTCTGTTGCCTCCCCAATAACACTGTCTATTTAGCTCTCCAATTAGAGTGGCCACCTTATAAAACCTTACCGCTTTGGCTTTAATAATCTAACTAGCTAATGTTACCAAGATCTTCCTAGAATTCCCTATACAGTATAGGGAACAATTTGAGAATACTGCACAAACATTACCTAATTGCTATTCTATGAGCACTTAACGATGACCTCTGTCAGTCTATAGTATCTCAGATGAGCCGATCATGTTAATATCTAAGTAGTGCTATTAACTTTTTTTAGATGATTTTAGATTCAATCCCCCATTTTTAACCATCTCAACAGTGGGGATACCAGATGTCTATCAGTTGTGTCAATCCCTTTCCAAATTCCAGAGACCTCTGCTAGGTCACATTCTAGTCTCTGCTTTCATCATTTCTCATCACTTAGATTCTTTGGACCTGTTGTACTGTTTGTTGTCCTGTGCTATGCAAAAGGCAATGGCATAATTACAGGTAATTGGTTTGCACTGATGCCCCCAGTTTGTGTGCTGTCCTGAACCTGCAGAAGCAGACTCCTTGAGGAAGGCCTTCAATATCTCATTGTTGAGCAGCTGACTTGAAAGCCTAGCTGACTGCTATAGCATGACAATACTTTGACAATGACATAGGAATTTCCTACATAAAGGAGACCAATCAGTTCATCTTAGCTACTTCTCTGACATGAAGTGTAACAATAGTCAAGCCTCACTACCTAACATACCCATGTGGAAAAATACAAATTGATGCTGATGGATGAAGCTACCAGTCTGATGATAGCCCAAGAGACACGGTCTTGAAAATGACAATAGGGAGGGACCTCCTCCTGCAACTTCTTCTACTTGCAGCTTTTGCCTCACACTCCATTTCTCCACTGAGCAGTGTCGCAAGCTTATAGTAACACTGCCCGTGCCCTGTCTGAGTTGAAGCTGGGCTGTGAAAAGGACAATCAGACTCTTCCAACAGGGAAACTCCCTCATGTACTGTCTCCTGAAAGGAAAAATATGGGCTGCCTCAACTCAAGCTGCCTCTGATTGTTGAAGCTGTCCTCCCATGATAGTTACTCCCAGCGCCTCTTCGGTGCAGCTGGCACTGTCACTGCCCACCAGCGGGAAGGGGGATCTGAACCAGGGCAAACCCAAAGAGCGCTTGAAGAGCATTCTATTTAAAGATGGTCCTGCTGCATTGGAACTGTTTCCCTGAAATTCTCCCGGTGCTTTTTCTATTTTTTTTTTCCATTATTGAGAATATTGGCGTGAAAACAGGCTCTTTGTTCCTCCAGAGCTGCTTTGTTCCTGTTGCCCATTCTGGCTATGAGGTTACAACACTCTATCCATGAAAGCAGCGTCAGGATGGTGTCAGATGGAGAATAAACACCCCTGAGCTGATGATGTTTTACGAACTTTCTGGCCAGGCCAGGCTTACTCAGCTCTTGACGGTAGTGGCTATAGATACTAACACTGCACAAGAGGCTTGCAAGGAACCTTGAAATCATCTGACACTCCCCTGCCTTTGGGTTTTATTACAAATTCAAAACTCAGACCTTGCTCACCTAAAGCTTGCTGAGCACTGTGGGCTAGATTCTGTGATCTGACTGTGCTGTGCTTGATGCAAAACTGGTGGAGCTGGCGGTTGCAAAGGTAGCTTTAACCCACCTTTATGAGTTCTGGGGACCTAATGCCATTCTCCTTCAATTCTAAGGGTGGCCCACAGCCAGTCTGCTCCCCTGGGTCAATCAGAGTAGCATAAGGGATGGGGATGGATGATTCCACATGGATTGCAACTAAAGAAAATGTTTGTGCAGCCCCTAGCAAAGCAAAATTGCAGAGTTTCCTTCAGCTCTGAGAAATACAAAGATTCAAGTACAAGTACATTCACTGAGGAGGATGCCGTTTAAGGGGGCTGCATTGTACCCAGTTTCATCCCTCATCTAACGCCATGGAAGAGAATGGAGGATGTACCTTTGGAGTTTTTTCCCAAGATTATAATCAGTTGCTCCTTGACTCTTAAAACAGCAGTTCTCTGCTGGACACCAGCCTTCCTCAGCCTGCTGCCACGTCTTCCCTGCAGGAATTAGAATGATTGAATTCCTAAGAAGTACCAGTAG